CGAGGGAACTTCCGATACAGCAGTTACTGGAAGAAATTCGAATGTTGATCAACAGGTGGAACTCACAAATCGAAACACTGCACAAGCGACATTTACAAAGCTTACCTTTAAATACAATGCTATACTGGATGAAAATCTTGATGCAGCACAACATATGATAGTAAGTTTATATTATATAACATATTCCTTATTTTCAACTTCATGTTTTTCTACAGAGTAAATCAATAAAGTTACTCTTTTGGATTTTATACATAAAGTGTAGACTAATCTTGCTTTTCTACCAAATATAGGTGAGACCATCGACTGAAAACTTACATTCAGTTATTGATAATGGGAGGTTTTTCATCGTTTGCCTTAGGGAAAGGACATGTAGTTGTAGAAGGTTCCAGCTTGATCAAATCCCTTGTCCGCATGCGTGGGCGGTTTTGAGGTCAAAAAACTTAGAGGGTGAAGATTACTGTTCTATGTACTACAACAATGAATACATGTTGAAAGCATACGACATTCCAATATATCCTCTTCCAGATGAAAGCACATGGACAATTCCAGTAGAGGTATTAGAACAAGCTGTGTTGCCACCAGTCTGGAATAAGATGCCTGGAAGACCGAAAAAGGTGAGATACAAGAAGGTTTCAGAATCACAAGCTAAGAGGCCAAAGAGTTCATGCGGACAATGTGGACGTGAGGGCCACAATAGGAGAACATGTAGAAATATACCTTATAACCACTGAATGACCTTAAAGATAAATTGTTTGTATATATATCAAGTTTATTAAATGATTGAAGTATTATTCATGTTCAGAAGTTATTTAAGTTTTGCACTTGTGTATGCAAGTTTTAATTTAGCATTTTCGTATGTATATCAAAATGTATCATATAAATTAGTTGGACAAGGTCAATACATTAAGTTGTGTAGGACATGTATATCATCATGTATATTATTGCATTGACATGTAAATAATATTTTGGCACATGATCTTTACAATTTAATCATTTTATATGAAGTTGAATTAATATGTCGTCATACTGAACACTGAATCAAGTTTGGATATATATCTCTGTGCTTGTTACACATACAAATATAAAATAAAATGTATACATGTTTTTGAACAATTAAGTATTGATATACATGGGGATAGAGTTATACAAAAAACTGGTGTTGTTAGTTCAAGGATATACAAATCAGGATATACATGTTAGCTCAAATAAATGTAAACATGTAATTGTACAACTAGGTATTGATATACATGGGAACGGAGATATACTCAAAATTAGAGTAGTAGGTTCACGGATATACATAGTGGGATATACATGTTATCTCTCTTAAATGTATACTATATTTATAAACTATGTAAGCACGTGATTTTTGCCCTGTGAGAGAATTACTCCCAAAAAATTCAAAATAAAACGAATTTTCCTTGGTGTTGTAATTTTTGAATTTTTGTGGTGTTTTTGTATAATTATTTGTATTTTTGTTTGTGCATGTTTATTTGTTTAAAAAATATAAAAAATAAAATATGTCGTATTTTCGTTTAGTATCTATTTAAGTTTGTTTTACAAAAATGAGAAAATCATAAAAAAAAAAATATACGTTGCATTTTAGCATTTAACGTCTAAATTGTGCGATTTTATCGTTAATTGCTATTTAAATATACGATAATAGTTATTTGGAATTAATTAGTATTTTTTGATAAGTTAATTTAGTTTATAACTTAATTTAGAATTTTAGTTTTATTAATTAGAAAGTAGAAGAAAATAGAGCAAAAAATATAAAGAAAATCGGAATTGGACCTCTTCTCCAAATTTCAAACCACAGGCCCAAAAAAATACCCAACCTTCCCCATGACCCGGTCCATTTCAACACGGGTCAACCCGGTCCGCCCCATAACTAAACTATCCGCCCAACCCCCTCCCATTTTTCATTTTTCTTGTTGAAACCCAAACATAAGAAACCCTAAAACTACCCGCCTCCCTCTCCTTCTTCTTCCTCTCCAAAAACACCCCAAGCTCCCCTCCCATGGCAGCCATGGCTGCTACCCTTCCCCTCCATCCTCACTACCCAAACACACGCTGCCGGAACCTAAACCATCAACCCCGCTGCCATTGCTTCGTCTTCTTCGTCGCCAAGCTCAAGCTTCCATGGCGACTTTCTTCCCCGAACGATCCTGCCGCTACTGTTTTGTTTTCTTCTTCATCAAGCTCCCATAGCTGCTGCGTTTTTGTTGCTTCTGCTACATCCAAACTGACCCAGCTGCTTCTGCCTTCATCTTACTCGTCGTCAAGCTCGAGCTCGAGCTCCCATGGCAGCCATGGCTACTCCTTCATCTAATTCATTGGTCTCGACAGTAGCCCCTCCTCACCATATCGGACGACCACCTGAAACAGTCCCTTCTGCTGCTTATGCTGCTGCCTGCATCGTCCAAACAAACCCTCACCTGCTGCTGCCCGCTGCTTTTTCTTCGTCGCGGCCAAATGACCCTCGACGAGCTTCTGCTTCAGTCAAGCTCCGCCACCACTGCTGCTGCGTCTTCTTCTCCTCCGTTGATGTTGTTGTCCGCTACTTCTTTCTTCAAGTTCTTCGTTTGTCTGTTCGTGATCGTCTTCGGCGTCAAATGGTTTTGGTGCGATATTTGTTTCCGGAAAGATTTGTTTTCGTTCGAGTTCATCATCGTTCCGATCCGGTTAGTTGGCTTAAGTTTTGTTCCCGTCCATAATTTGTTTGATATTTTTCGGATTTGAAATCAAATATGTTTGATATTAATTTTATGTTCATC